TTTTATTTTCCAGTTGAGGTTTGGAATTGGCCAAAGTCACCATGTTGGTAAGTAACAAAACTGAAACTGAAACGTAGATCTCAGTGGCAACAGAACTTGTGTGTTAGCCATTAAGTCTGCTGCCGTCCTACAGTGCAATATGGTCTCCGGTAGCAGTACTGTCTAGCCCCAGAGACCATATTCTTGTTCTTGGAGGTAGATGTGGGCTTAATATGAAAGAGGAACTTTCTTATTACTACAACTATGACTTCTCAACTCATAGATGGTTATTTAATGAAATGCTTAAAAGAAATAATTTTATTGTGGTGATTGTTGTTGTTAAGTGCCATCAAGTTGGTTCCATCTCATAGCGATCCTATATAGGAGTGGCTGGTGACTTTGAACCACCGACCTAGCAGTTCAAGTGAGCTTGCGATCCAGTGCTTATCCTACAGCACCGCACCAGGAGATTAATGTGTAAATTTTTCTATGTCTCAGATAACTTTAATCCTCAGAACCTATGATATGCAAATATACTTGGCTCATGGAAAATTTTTTAAAAGAAATTTAACATATAAACTATTTATATTTTACTTGTGTTTTTAGCATGTTTGTAAAGCACTTCAAGAATTATACAGTGTTAAATGTTCAGCCGAAGATGTTTTCAATTTGGATTCTAGTACTGATGAAAAATTTAGCCGGCATTTAATATTTCAACTCCGTGATGTGGCATTTAAAGATAATATTCATGTTGGTAAGTGTGCTGTTTAAAATGGGAAAAAAACACAACTCTTTTGCTACCTCTGATGTTGTTATTGTTAAGTGCTGTGGAGTCGGTTCTGACTCATAGTTACCCTGCATAGGGTTTCCGACCAACAGCTAGTGGGTTTGAACCACCAACCTTGCAGTAAGCAATCCAGTGCTTATCCTAAAACAGTATACCAGAACTCCCCACTGGTGATAGTGCCTGAAATTCCTGATTGATTAGTTCTTTTGAGTTTTGATGGCAGTGGAGATGATGTGATTAGGAAAGGGAAGTAGAAAGCGGAGTAGTTCTGCTATGAACTGCCAGTGTATTATTAGTGCTGGGCATCTACCATTATATCCTATTCTGGTTAACTCCCTGTCCAAGTTCAAAGGCTTCATCAGCAGCCTGAGCACGGCAGTTGTTGTTAAGTACCATGGAGTCGGTTCCAACACATAATGACCCTGCACAGGGTTTCCAAGGCTGTACATCTCTACGGGAGCAGAAAGCCTCATCTATCTCCCATGGAACAGATGGTAGTTTCCAACTGCCAACCTTGAGGTTAGCAGTCCGATTCATAACCACTGCACTACCAGAGCACGGCCATTGCATGTTCTTATTTGTCTAAATGGCTCTAGTGGTGCAGTGGTTAAGTACTCAGCTGTGAACCAAAAGGTCAGCAATTCAAACCCACCAGCAGTGCTATGGGAGAAAAGACATGGCAGTCTGCACCCATAAAGATTGTTGTTGTTGTGGTCAAGTGCTGTCGAGTTGGTTGCAACTCATAGTGACCCTGTGTAGGGTTTCCAAGAAGCAGCTTGTGGGTTTGAACCACTGACCTTTTGAACCACTGTAGTTAGCAGTCAAGTGGTGACCTACTGCACTACACCAGGACTGCAATCTAAAAACCCAATAGGGTAATAATTATCCTTTGTCATATAGGGTAACTATGAATAGAAATGGACTGAATACATATAAGACATAAATGCAGTTTTTGGTTTCCTAGAAAATTAACTATATCAATTTATGTTTGTATTGTTCTATTGTCCTTTTCTATGCCCTGGTTTCTTTTCACTGTTTTTATCTTATCTGTCTCCTTCTAAAGTTAGTCATGTTTACAAAGCATTGCAAGATTCAACTGCTTTTACTTTCATTTTGGTGTGTACTGTTTGATAAAAAATTACATTTGTTTCCTGGAATTCAAAGGTAACTAAGTCTAGCTTGGGGAAAGGGAATTTAGAATATGCATAGCTTATGATTTGCGGGTTTAAGCCTGTCTTACAAAGTGACAACTTAACTTATAAGAGTTTTAGACGTTAACATTTAATTATGCTTGGGCTAAATGCAACAGAGGTAAATGATGATGTATGCTCAACCTTGGAACAACAGGGCTCTGTGATATAGGAATTGAGGCATAGTCTGAATGGTAAGATGCTTGACCATCTTATGGATATTGGTTTTCCTTACCTACTATTATAAAATAGGTATAGAAAGGAATATTGGGACACATGACTATAGAAAGCTTGTAAGCCCATCTTCAGCCTATAACTGATTGGAATACCTAAAAGGGGTTCTAGAACTTGCCCGGTAAAATAGGCTTCTTGCAGAGCCTTTGTACAGGACCATAGGTGGAATCCTAAACCCCATACAGAACCTTCTGAGGTGGGACATTCCCATTTGAAAGAACAAGCAGACCAGCCTGGAGTGTTTAGAGGAACAGAAAATACTTCCTGAAAGAAGGACTAACACAAAAACAAAACAAAACAAAAAACACAACAACAGCAGTCAGTTTGGCTATTGAACAAATAAGCAAGTTGTTCATTGGGGAGCCATTAAGGCAAGCAATCAATTCCCTTCAGGACAAACCCCCTTCCAAGATTGAAACTCAAATGGAGCACTCAAGCAGGCATGTAAGCTTGCTGGTGACTGCATTGGTGTACATTTGAGTGGAAGTGGGGGAAAGACAGCAATGAATACGTGGGCTGAGTTTGACCATATTCCATAGACTCTTGTTGACTTGATGATGAGACAGAGAAGAGGAAAGGCTGGTTGGCCCGAAGTTTGGGGAGACTTGGGAACTCCTGAGTCTGTGGATATTAACCTAGTCACGAAGGGTTAAAGCTGAGAGTGAAGTATCCAGCTGCTAGGAAGTGAGGGAAGACACACAAAACTCCCCAAGCTTTACAGATAGTACCCATTTGATCCAGCTTTGATGGCTTGATGACCAAAGCTTGACTAGAGGAAGAGAATGAAATTTGTTAAAGGAAGCAAGTGTAAATTGCTACAAATTGATGAACTTGACCTATACTTACGGATGTAGTAGCTCAAAATACCAACCAAGAAGGCAGGAGTCTTCACATCAAGGATAAAACATCCCCTTGGTATACAGGGTTGATAGGGATGGGCAACTTAGACATTGGCTACCTAAAATGGGGTAACTATAAAGGCATGAAGTGGCACAAGTTTTTAAGATGTAGTTTAGTTTCATAGTATGTGTGGGAAGGTAGAATTCCCACTGAATAGTTTTCATCTTGTCTGGATGGGTCTGGTGAAAGGAGACAGGGATAGGATTCTTTTGATTCAATAGTCAGTAATTGTTATCATGACTAATTGTGACTG